GACTCCATCAAGAAACTACTAGATTTAATAAATCGTTTCACCAATGTAACAGGATCAAAATCAACCACCACAAATCCATGGCATTTTTATACAATAATAATGAATCCTCAGAAAGAGAATGTAAACAAACAGCCCATTTACTATTGCAACAAATAATTTAACATGCTTAGGAAAAAATTAAGGAGATGATAAAATACTTGTACTCAGAAAACTACAGGACATTGGAAAAAAAGATGAAGATATCAACTGGAAGAATATACCATGATATACCATGTTCTTGAATTGGTAGAATTAACATAATTAAAATGGCCTTATTACACAAAGCAATCTACAGATTGAATACAATCCCAATTAAATTACAAATACCATATTTCACAGATCTAGGACAAGTAGTCCAAAAATTTATATGGAACCAAAAATAATTCTGAGTATCCCCAGCAATCTTTTAAAAATTTATTTATTATTAAATATATTTTATTGATTTTTTTACAAAGAGAAAGAGAGGGATAGAGAGTTAGAAACACTGATAAGAGAGAGACATCGATCAGCTGCCTCATACACACTCCCTACTGGGAATGTGGCTACAATCAAGGTATATGCCTTGATGGGAATTGAATCTGGAATTTTTCAGTTGGCCAATTTAACTTGGCCAAACTAGTTAGGGAAATTTATTTTTAAACTCTCCCTACCTCCCTCACCCCCCCCCAATATTTCTCCATTGATTTTTAGAGAGGGAAGACAGAAATAGTGATGTGAGAGAAACATATCAGCTGGTTGCCTCTGCATGAGCCCTAACTAGGGTTCTGGCCTGGTAGAAGCCAGCAACCAAGGTACATGCCCTTGACCAGAATCAAAAGGGGGAACCTTTGGTCCACAGGCTGATGCTCTGTCCACTGAACCAAACAGACCGGGGCATCCCCAACAATCTTGAGAAAGAACAATGCTGGAAGGATCACAATGCCAGATGTCAAGTTATAGTTCAAAGCCATCAGTGATCAAAACAACCTGGTACTGGCACAAGAATAGGCATGTAGATCGTTAGAATGCAACAGAGACTCCAGAAATTGACCCACGCCATTATGCTCAATATGTGACAAAGGAGGCAAGAGCATACAATAAGGTGACCAGACGTCCCGCTTTTGGCGGGACAGTCCCAATTGTTAACAATTTGTCCCATGTCCCATGGCGTTTTTTAAAAGTCCAAAAGATTTAAAAGAATCTTTCCAAAAATCGGGACTTTTTTAAAACTCCACGGGACAAATTGTTAAAGAGAGAGGAACAGAGAGTTAGAAACATCGGATGAGAGGGAATCATCGATCAGCTGCCTCTTGCACACCCCCTACTGGGGATATGCCCGCAACCAAGGTACATGCCCTTGACCGGAATCGAACCTGGGACCTTTCAGTCCGCAGACTGACACTCTACCACTGAGCCAAACCGGTTTCGGCCAAAATCATTACTTTTAGAGTTTCTTGAGATGGAGCATGTTCACCATAAGCTTTTCGAAGTATATTATAACTTTCAGCAGCACTTTCCTTCAAAATGAAGTAATGAATTAAAACTTCCTGCAAACGATCTTTTTTTTTTTTTTCTGCATGAAATTTTTAAGCATAAAAAATATCTGTGATGTTGACACTTTCAGAAAATGACATATGAAGTTTTTTTTATTATGCACATTTTATATTTTATTGATTTTTTAAAATTTAGTACATCTTTATTGCTTAGATTATTACAATTGTTTCTCCTTTCCCCCCCCCCATAGCTCCCTTCCACCTGGTTTCTACCCCACCTTCTGCCCTTACCTCCCCTCCACCATTGCCCTCATCTATAGGTGTACGATTTTAATCCAGTGTCTTCCCGCACCCCACCTCCTTTTCTCCCTGATACTTTTCAATCCGCTCCCTTTCTTTGCACCTGATTCTATTATATTCACCAGTTTATTCTGTTTCTTAGATTTTTAATTCACTTGACTTTTAGATTCACTTGTTGATATTTATGTGTTGATCATAATTTTTATCTTTTTTCTTTTTCTTCCTCTTCTTACAGAATACCTTTCAGCATTTCATATGATACTGGTTTGATGTTGATGAACTCCTTAGCTTTTTCTTATCTCTGAATCTCTTTAGCTTACCTTCAATTCTGAATGATAGCTTTGCTTGGTAGAGTAATCTTGAAGAAATATTCAAAATGAGGAACAGCAATTATGTGTTGATCATAATTTTTATCTTTTTTCTTTTTCTTCCTCTTCTTACAGAATACCTTTCAGCATTTCATATGATTCCTCATTTTGCTGTTCCTCATTTTGAATATTTCTTGCCAATCCCATCTGGCCTGCATAGTTTCTGTTTAGAAATCAGCTGACAATCTTATGGGTGCTCCCTTATAGGTAACCAACTGCTTTTCTCTTGCTGCTTTCAAGATTCTCTTTGTCTTTTGCCCTTGGCATTTTAATTATGATGTGTCTTGGTGTGGTTCTCTGTGGATTCCTGTTGTTTGGGATTCTGTGCGCTTCCTGGACTTGAAAGTCTATTTCTTTCACCAGGTGGGAAAGTTTTCAGTCATTATTTCTTCAAATAGGTTTTTAGTATCTTGCACTCTCTCTTCTTCTGGCACCCCCATAATTCTGATGTTGGTTCACTTGAAGTTGTCCCAGAGGCTCCTGACACTATCTTCAACTTTCTGGGTTCCTCTTTCTTCTTGCTTCTCCAGAGGAGTGTCCTTTGCCTCTTTGTATTCCAAATCTTTGACTTGATTCTTGCGTTCCTCTAGTCTGCTTTTGAGTCTCTGTATAATATTTTTTATTTCAGTGTATGTTTAATTTCATGTTGGATCTGTTTCATTTCCTCAAGGGTCTTGTTAAATTTATTGGCCTTTTCTAGGAAATTCTTGAAAAACCTTATAATTATGGTTTTGAACTCTGTAATCAATCTTTTATTCTCCTCCACTTTTTTCTTTTGAGATCTATTTCCTGTCTCCTCATTTTTGCTGCTTCCCTGAGTTGATAGGGTGGCTTTGTGTGTTTGGTGTTCTATAAGGCCTGAAGAGTCAGCCTCCCCAGTTACCTGAGGTAGACACTCTTGGTGCTCCCCTTTGTGGACCGCGCGTACAGCCTTATTGTAGTTAAGTCTCTCTCTTTTTTAAAAAATTATTTTTCACAGAGAGAAAGGGAGAGAGCTAGAGAATATCTTCAACCAGCTGCCTCCTGCACACCCCCTTCTGGGGATGTGCCCGCAACCAATGTACATGCCCTTGACCGGAATTGAACCCGGGACCCCTCAGTCCACAGACTGACGCTCTGTCCACTGAGCCAAACCAGTTTCAACAAGTTTCAAATGTGCTGACATTTCTTATAGGTGTGTTTACATGTACATATTGTTAGCACAAAAGTATTTATCGGCATGATAAATGCCAAATGTAGGACAATCGTCCTTGATTGTTGTTGGTATCACTGGGAGGAATTGACCTCCAGGCCAATTGGATGTGAGTATCAGCTGTGTCTACGCCGGGATACCTTCTCTGTGCTTTGTGGCTCCTCTGATCTGTGAGCTTCTCTTCTTCTTTCTTGTTGTAGATTTCCCATTCAGCCAGCGTTCCTGTGGTTTTGGATGAAGTCTGTTCTCTTTTAGTTGTTGTTGTGAAATCGTTGTGTGAGGCTGCAGCTTAGTTGCTTACCTTGGCCGCCATCTTGTTTTTTTTTCCTATTTTATTGATATTTTTATAGAGAGGAAGGGAAGAGGGATAGAGTGTTAGAAACATCAGTGAAAGAGAAACATCAATCAGCTGCCTCCTACATAGTCCCTACTGGGTATATGCCTGCAACCAAGGTACATGCCCTTGACTGTAATCGAACCTTGGATCCTTGAGTCCACAGGCCAATGCTCTATCCACTGAGCTAGACTGGTTAGGGCGGCATATGAAGTTTTGAAGCTTGTTGTCAATACAACAAAACAGCGTACATATCAAATTGCATATATATGAACATATGTGTAATTCCATTTATATTAAAAAAAATCTGCATTATTAACTGGTATATCTAGTATTATGCAGCAGTAAAAAAGAAGGATCTCTTACATTTTGAGACAGCATGGAGGGACCAGGAGAGTGTTACACTAAGCAAGATAAGCCAGTCAGAGAAAGACAAGTACTATATAATCTCACTCATGTGGAATCTAACAAACAAAATAAAGTAATGAACAAAATAGATTTCCGGGATATGGAAGCATAGAACAGACTATGGAAGCTTAGAGAGATGGCTTGGAGGAGAAGGTGTGTGAGAAGTTTTCAGCCAAAAATGTATGCATAACCCATGGACACAGACAATAGGGTGGTTTAGTCCTGGGCAGGAGATGGAGGAGTGTTAGAAGGGGTCAGTGGTGGGAAAGTATGTAATACTTTCAATAATAAAGATTTAAAAAAAGAGACTACAAATACATCATCATATGACTGTACGTTGTGTGTAATATAGCAGTGAAAAAATGAATGAACTAGAACAACATGAAATAATGCCACCACATGCCAGAATGAATTTTGAGCCAGAAAGTTTCAGAAAGATAAGTGCAGTATGATGATTTTTCTTACAAAGTTTACAGTGCTGACATTTCTTATAGGTGTGTTTACATGTACATATTGTTAGCACAAAAATATTTATCGGCATGATAAATGCCAAATGTAGGACAATCGTCACTTCTGGGGAAGGAAAGGAAGGTTTTGGGATGGATAAGTATGCAGTCATCAGTTTTTTCCTGTTGTGTTTATTAAGGAAATCTAGATCAATTAAGGGTAACTGAAGGTTACCTTATTTCCTATACCTTTAATATGTTTTAAACACTTCAAAATGTTTTTTAAAAGGATGGCAAGAAATTAAGATTGAAAGGTAAAAGTGTCGGTTTTTAGGGATAAATGGAGAGGTGGGCAACTTGGATAAGTATTGGCTCGAGTTAACGTGAGTGTGGGCACATTGTCAGCCGCTGAGACACTCATTGCTGCTTGTGTCCTTGCAGCCTGGAGGGGCGATTTGAAGACGAGGAGCTGCAGCAGATCCTCGATGACATCCAGACCAAGCGCAGCTTCCAGTACTAACCTCCAGCATCGTGCTGCCGAGGGAGCCCCCGCGCGGCACGTCTCCCAGGACCTGAAACTGTCCCAGACGACACGGGACACTGGGGACACCAGCACCGCTGGGTCTTGGTTTGGGTTGCTGTTTCAGACTTGGCTGTTAGACATGACGACCATGGAGTCTTGGAGAGACCTTGCTGAGGGTGAGGGGGGTGATTGCATATAAACTAGGCTGCTGTCTACCCACACCATGGGTTTTGGCCCCGCGTTATTTTTTATTCCTTATAGTTCATGTTTTGGTTTCAGTGTCTTTATAGTTTTTGAAACATATAAAGCTGGAATGGTAAACAACAGTCTTACCTAAATGCTCAAGGAAGAATTAAGCCAGACCTGCATCAATGTTTGAAATTCTTAAAGATAGGACGGTGGTGTTGATTACCAGAGAGAGCTTGACATTTTTGTGCTGAACCTGGAGACAGGAGGAAGCTCACTAGGGAAAGCAGTTATGTCAGAGGATCACTGCTGAGCGAGTGGAGCCTGTAGACTGGAGGTAGACAGCACTTTGCCTTTTTTCTTGCACTGTTGCAGAAGGTAGTTTTGGACTAAGTGATCCTAATGTACTTAATTTTTCACTCCTAAACTAAGATGTTTTTTCTTCATGCCAGACATGAAGGTCTCAACACTTTTTTTGTTTTTGTTTTTTTAATCATCACCCGAGAATATTTTTCCACTGATTTTCAGAGAGAGACAAAGGCAGAAATATTGATATGAGAGAAACATCTAGATTGGGTTGCCTCCTGCACATGTCTTGACCAAGGCCTGGACCAGGGAGTATTCTGCAACTGAGGTACATGCCCTTGACTGGAATCGAACCTGGAACCCTTTGGTCCATAGACCACTGCTTTATCCACTGAGCCAAACTGGCTAGGGCAACACTTTGAAATCTCTTTGTATGTATCACCCCATCCAAACCTCCGCTGGGTTTTTGGCCACAGGTGTTTGTTGAAGCGGTATTCTAGAAGGACAGAGTTTGCCCCTTCACTGTAGTTAAACCTTTTTAAGAGCTAAACATTTTAGCTTTGATTTTCATGAAGGGAAATATGCCTGGTGTCTTCACAATTTGGGATTTTTTTTTTTTTGTTGGCTTGAAATGAATTCATGATCCATAGAAGAGGTTGAGGCCCTAGCTGTTTTGTCTCAGTAGGTAGAGTGTTGGCCAGTGGACTGAAGAGTCCCGGGTTCAATTCCAGTCAAGAGCACATATAAACATCTACATTTCACTCTCATCGTAGATGTTTCTATCTCTCCCTTTCTCTTCTCTATGAAATCAATCAAAATATTTTTTATAAAAGAGGTTGAGGAGCCCTAACAGGTTTGGCTCAATGAATAGCGTGTCGGCCTGCAGACTGAAAGGTCTCAGGTTCGATTCTAGTCAAAGGCAGCTGATTGATGTTTCTTTCTCATTGATGTTTTTAACTCTCTATCCCTCTCCCTTCCTCTCTGTAAAAAGTCAATAAAATATATTTAATTAAAAAAAAAAGCTTGAGGAAAGAACAAAGTTGGCTTAAAGGCCAAGATAGTTTTATATTAGCTGCTAAGACAAAAATAAAATGTGTTTATTTTTATAAATTCTTAAATGACGTGGTTTTGTCACCAGTATTCTTATTAATATTTAAAGGGAATGACAGCCTGACTGATATGGGTGAATGATTGAGTGTCATCACCTGCACCCAGAGCTTGCTGGTGGGTTCTCAGCAGGGAGCGTGCAGGAGGTGGCTGATTGATGTTTCTATCTTTCCCTCCAACTCCCTTTACCTCTAAAAGTAAAAAAATATATATATAAGAAACAAATGACAACTCTTCAACTTATAAAAATTGAAGTAATGTGTTCATCTTTAGACAACTTCACTTCTTTTAGACTCATCAGTGTTCTCAGTTGTGAAATGTGGAAAATAATATTTGTGTGCACTAAATTTTGAGAATATCAAATGAGAAATATTAAAAGCAATCCATTAATATCTGATATATTTTTTGTTCCAGTAAATGTTGGCTGTTGTTATGTTCAGTAGAGGAATAGGTGATAAATCAGCTTGCTTCATAGAAAGTAGTGCAAGAATTTGGTAGCCTATCAAATTGTACTGGTATCAGACTAGGAAACCAAATTGCTTATTCCTAAAGTCTCCAAAATTACTTTAAAAAAAATATAATAAACTTTTATTCAGATTATTATAGGTTTTTCTCTGCACCCCCCCCCCCAATAGCTCCCCTCCACCTGATCCCCACCCCACCCCATGCCCTTACCCCCGCCACCATCTTCATCCACAGGTGTAAGATTCTTGTCCAGTCGCTTCCCTCACCCCTCAGGCCCCCTTTCCCCCTGAGAATTGTCAGTCCACTCCCATTATGTCGCTGATTCTATTATATTCACCAGTCCATTTTGTTCTTCAGATTTTTTTTTTATTCTCTTGATTTTTAGATTCACTTGTTGGTAGGTATGTATGTCTCCTGGCAAAAACATAGCTGATTCTCACAGCCAGTTGGTCTGACGGTCAACTCCTCCCAGTGATACCAACAACAATCAAGGCTTAACTACAGATTTTCGGTCCTGGCGGTGCCCACACGGCTGCTCCCCGAGAAACCACTCTGCTCCCCGAAACCATAACGGAACAGACCATCTCCTTCGCCAAGGACTTCCTGACCGGGGCCGTCGCTGCCACCATCTCTGAGGCGGTGGCCACTCGAGAGGGTCGAGCTGCTGCTGCAGGGGCAGCGCACCAGCCAGCAGACCACGGCGGACAGCAGGACAAGGGCATGGTGCGCATCCCCGAGGGGCAGGTGCGCGGAGCCCGGGTGATCGCTACTTCCCCACGCAGCCCTCAACTTCGCCTTCAGGGACAGTACAGGCAGGTGTCCCAGGCGGCGTGGACAAGCACACGCAGTTCTGGCGCTACTTCGCCAGCAACCTGGCCTGGGAGGGGCGGCGGGCGCCGCGTCCTTCTTCCTGTGCCCACTGGACTTCGCCCGCACCCGCCTCGCTGCCGATGTGGACAAGTCCAGGGCCAAGTGGCAGTTGAAGGGCCTCGGGGGCTGCCTGGTGCCGATGAGCCGCTGGGCGGCGTCCGGGGCCTGTACAGGGCTTCACCGTGTCCGAGCAGGGCATCGTCACCTACCGCGCCGCCTACTTCGGCGTGCACCACACGGCCAAGGCATGCTCCTGGACCCAAGAAAACTACATCTTCATCAGCTGGGTGGCCGGCCAGTGGGTGGCGGCGTGGCCAGCGTGGTCTGCCCCTGGGACACCGTGAGGCGGCGGATGGTGGTGCAGTCAGGGCGCAAAGGAGCCGGCATCATTACACGGGCACCATCGACTGCAGGCGCAAGGTCTTCCGGGACGAGGCGGCAAGCCTTCTTCAAGGGGCCTGGTCCAACGTGCTGCGGGGCATGGGCGGCTCCTTCGTGCTGGTGCTCTCCGATGAGTTCAGGAAGGTGCTCTAGGCTCCGTTCCCACGCTGCCCCCCAAGCCGGCCCGGGGCCCCCCAAACCCCTGGCTGACCAGATCCGCCACCCCCCCGGCCAGATCACAGCAGTGCCAGGAGGGAGTCTACGACGAGACCCTCTCCGATCACAACCACTAACACCCCCATTTCCCCTCTGTACCCCCAAACTGGACCTTGGGGTCTGGGGGCCTCTCCAGCTGACCAGACACCCCCTGTCCCACCGGACCAATCATGGCAGCCCCAGGAGGGCCTAGGATGAGACCCTCTCTGATCACGACCACTAACACCCCTGTTCCCGCCCTGTACCCCCAAACTGGGCCCCAGGGCCTCCCAGCCCGCGATCTTACCAGACACCCCCGTCCCTACAGCCCAATAATGGCAGTCCCAGGCGGTGACCTAGGACGAGACCCTCTCTGATCATGACAGATGCCCCTAGTTCCCACCCTGTACCCTCAAACTTGCCACGCCCCCCCATCTGACTCCTCACCCCTTGTCCCCCCGGCAGGATCATGGCAGCCCCTGGCGGTGACTTAGGATGATACCTCTGATCACGACCACTGATACCCCCCATTCCCATGCTGTACCCCAAACCGGGCCGCAAAGCCCCCGGGCCGACCGGACACTCCCCCGTCCCCCCAGCTGGATCTTGGCAACCCCGGGCGCGGACCTAAGACAACCCTCTCTGATCACGAGCACTGACGCCCCGGCCCTCACCCTGATGTGGGGTGCAGGGGGCCCCCCGAACCCCACGGGTTCCCCCCACCATGTGTAGCTTTTATTTAAAGGAAAATCATGCCGCCTTCTGAGCTTCCACACAGCTGACTTCTCCCCCCAAACCCCCCTCTTTCGGGCATTCTGCAAACGATTAATTAAAACACACGGAGAAAAAAGGGGGGTGTGCATGAAGAGTGTCCACCTCAGGTAACTGGGGAGGCTGACCCACCGGTCATATAGGACACCAAATATACAAAGCCACCCTACCAACTCGGAAGCAGTGAAAATGCGGAGACACAAACAGATCACAAACAAAAGAAATGGAGGAAAACAAAACAACTGAGATAGAGTTCAAAACCACGGTTATAGGGTTTTTCAGAATTTCCTAGAAAAAAACGATAAATTTATCTTTTGCTCTCACTGATTTCTTCACATTGCAAACTTCTTCGGTTTCTCCTCCTTGTCCTGGAAGCTCAGCAGGTTGACCTGTGGCTCCCCTTTGTTCTCCGCAGACTCCTGTGCTGCTTCAGCCTGTTGCCGGGGTCGGCGCCGCCCAGGAAGCAGCCCCCGGCCTCGGCTCCGTGGCCCGCGCCCAGCAAAAGCCGATAAATTTAGCGAGACCCTTGTTGATATGGAAAACGACCAACTAGAAATTGAACATAAACTGACAGAAATAAAAAATATCCAGCACCCAAAAGCAAACTAGAGGAATGCAAGAATCAAGTCAAAGATTTGTAATACAAAGATACAAAAATCACTTAGCCCGAAAAGCAAAAAGAAAAAATCCAAAAATTTGAAGATAGTGTAAGAAGC